TTTTTACCTTGCGTGGACTACGGTGGAGTACATCCTTACCTCCCCCGGCCTATGAAAATCGCTTAAAATTAATTAATTTATTGAAAAAAGAAAGCAGATTTTAGGAATGTCCTTTATTTTTGAGGTGATAAAGAGGGATGTAAGTTTCCAATTTTTGCTCAGTCAATTATCTTTAAACGCTCCATTTCGCTTTTCTAAACATTATGTGATAATTAGGATCTCTCAGCAAATATTACGAGATTTTTACGTGTTGCTGTAGAACCTTGAACGACTTTTATACGCACGTTTCATTTTCTGATACGGTAATCTCCTTTAAAAGAAAATTTCTAATAAAACTCCATATTCGTGCCGACATTAATGCCCATTCGGCACAAAGTTTTACTTGCGGTTGTTCTGATGTAAAAGGAGAAACTTACCATACTCTGCGTTAAGAGAGCAAGAATACAAAGGCTAAACGAAGCATCCGTGCTATGTTTTTCTTAAACTAAAAAAAAAAATTTATATTTTCAAGTAATGTGGGAGGACTAGAATTGCCCCATAGACGCCTTCTCCATCTCATAACAATTTTTTTGCTGCGAATTGCAATTTGTTCCATCAATGTACAAAACGATGTTACAACGTATGTTGTCTAATATTTATATATTCATTAACATTCCTTGATAATTTATTAATATTATGTAACAATGTTTTACGCCAAGTCTTTCACAAACCAAAAGTTTCCAGCTTTGATTTTGTAACGATTATCTACGCAGCTTTAAAATTAACTTTTGTGGTAGCTTTTATTATACACGTTTTTTTCTAAAGCAAATTTCTTCAAGACGTTAGCTATTTTGCTTGCGTCTGAAATTATTGAATTGAGAGATGGTATTTGGCGGTGGTTGCATATATAAATAATAAAAAAAGGGAGCCCTCGCAGCGTACAACGAATGCCTTTACGTATGTGAATCAAACGAAAGGAAAAAACATTTTTGTCATTCATTGCAACCATCTGGAAATTTTTTTCCTGTGAGCACAAATGCGATGAAGCGTCGGTCAGCTTGTTTGTTATAATTATAGGTTAACACAGATATTTCAGAATTGAATATAGAATTTTGAGCTAAGTAGGTCTGCTTTACCGCGGTAGAGACTGTTAAACAAAACCCTCAATAGTATTACTTTCTGTGTTAATACCATTCAATTGTTTCTGAATTTTAATAAGTTTTTTTTCGTAACGATGTTCTACCATTTATTCGCCATATCGTTGGTGGGTTAATAAAAAATTACTGAAAATAGATGCGAAAAAGAAGAAGAAAAATAAAAAATCATATAACAAAAGCAGGAAAAAAAAAATTATTTTTGGTTTATTGAAATACAAACTAAAACTATTGAAATATAGATCATAAGTAGTAAAATTTATATATTTATTCTTCACAATATTTGCCTGAAATGTAAACTTTTCTGCACGATTCTGACCGTTACTATACAAAATAACTTCTTGGAACTTTGTGCAGAAAACTTTAATGAACAAAAAAAAGAAATTAAAAGTAAAAATGAATAAAAGCTTGGAGAAGCAATCAAAAACTATATATAACAAAATTTAATATAATAAATGTACAAACATATCATTCCTTACTTAAAATTTCTTACAGCAAGTATTTTTATTCCGATATCAAGTTTTAATTGTTTTTCTTCCACTTGCATTCATCGACCTATTATACACTTCTGTTTCTCGAAATGGATTTTTATATCGGTAATGGCAGTTACGTAGCGAATTTTCTTCGTTGTATATCACTGTTGGGCTTGTTGACGAAGTAGAACATCTTCTTGGTTTTTAATACTACATTACTTCTTTTTATTAAGCTTCCGAAAAAATTTAAATTTTCATCCTTAAAATTTGTTCACAGCCGACTTGTTGGAAATTTTTTGATCTCGATAGCTATCAGTCAGAACTGTCAAACCTGCCAAACGGTTATATGTAAATTTAAACACTGCGAAGCAAACCCGTATCGAGTATAACATATTCTGCTTTTTTTTAAATTACAAAAGAATTAAATCTGCATTTGAGGACATTTGTTACATGCTGTTGTGAGGAGTAAAGATGACTCGCTGCGAATGAAGGCGAAGGGGCAATTTGGGAGACTTTGAATAATCAACATCGCGGAGGAACAGTAGACTAGACAATGATGACGGACGAAACTCTGGAAGGATAATTAAAAGAAGTTTCTTTTCGGGCGATAGAGTCATATGTCTTTGCATTCTTTGGACGATATAATTGTCACTGACAAAACCTTGGGAGCACATACGACAAATTTGAAAAAGGTTGAGAGAAGGAAGCCTACGTATTAATACAGAAAAATCATTAAAACTAGTCTACGATGTTTGAGCCACATTGTAAGCGACCACGGAACCCAGTAAAAACGGCGACAATCAGAGAGATAGAAGCCCACAGAATGCGAAGAAAGTCCGAAGATTTTTAGGAATGGCGTCATGGTGTGGATGATTTGTGCCACAATTTCTAGTCGTTGGAGAAATTTTAACCACACTTATCTGAAAGGGGGCTAGCCTTAGGCCGAAGAAAAGCAAATCGCAAATATCGTCTAACATACTCTCCTGTGATGGCATGTCTTAACTTCAGGTAGAGACCTTCCATGCGGACGGATGCTACCCTTGGGGGTGGTGTGAATATAAAACAATGATGAAATAAAACGCGTCATTGCTTGTGTCAGCTATCGGCTAAATACTGCAGAAAGGAGTTATTCCACGAAGGAAGAGGAATGTTTATCCATCATATACGGTTTGCGGAAGACCCTATTTTGAAATTCGTAATAATTATTTATATTATATGCCTGGAACGACTGAATACTCCGGACAATCCGTCTGGACGGATAGCTCGCTAGGTGCTGGAGTTATGGCAGTAGAATTTCCCTGTGTAATCCTGCCGGGGAACATAAAATAGCGGTTGCATTATTCGGTCAGCTGGTGGAAGTAGCACAAGAGGCCTTTCAAGAAGTACGTCATGCAGTAGTGAGTGTGTGTAAACAAGAAAATAAAGAAGAAGCCGGCTGGAGAAATGAGTGCGGAGCTATCAACGAGTCCGTGGGAATTCGTATGTATTGACTTTGCCGGCCCATTATCTAGGAGGAAAACATAAAACTCAGCTATACTGGTCTTTATGGGCCTTTTTTGTGCCCTCGAAATGTCTCATTTCTGACAATGAGGCCTAATGTACAAGTAACCGTTTTCAAAAACAACTCCAAAGTATTGGAGCTCATCGCTCTATACTCGCCACAGGAAAACACCAAGGAGGTTAGCAAGATCGAATAGAAAGAAGAAAAAAAATTACAGTAAAAGAAAACTAATCTATTAGGAAAGAAAATGCGGACAAAGTTGAAATCTAGAGTAAGAGAGTTAAACAGATCTATGTAAATGATAACTTTTTCGTGTGAATATGGATTGATTGAATTATGTTAAATATAAATGGTTTGGTTTTCAAGCAAGAAAAGTATTGCACACAACTTAGTGGAATTAAAACTGTACAATAGTGCTGAATATACACATTTTAAGTTTAAAAACAAAAATACAATCCGCCTACAGATAAATTCGTAATAAAATTATTTAATTTTCGTCTTAACACACACGCACAACTCACCTAAAAATTTCTTTTACATTTTTTTATTGTATTCCATACGCGCGGTGCTGACCGGTTAAAGAATGCTCAAAAAGCCTCCTTTAGCCAAATTTTTTTACTGTCAATTCGTTTATGTTGCTTTATATTAAGGCAGCACAATTTCTTTCTAATGAAGTAATATAACTAAAGTATATAACGTCTAGTTTGTAGGAGAAACTAGCCAGTTGAATACATCAAAATATTACACCAACAACGTGGAGCGTCCGGATCACAAGGAAATCTTTGGATGCTAGTGAATCACTTCTTCTCAGAATTCTTGTTAGTATTTTAGATTGCGAAACACTTAATTATTATACCAATATATTTCTTCTCTGCATATTTAAAAACAGTTTAAGGACTATTTTTATCCAAAAGTGTACATAATTAGACACTAAGGATATAATAATAATAATTAATTATTCAAAAAAAAAAACGAACTAGATTATAATGGGTTTAGGAAATTCCCTTTGTGCAATCACATATGGAATTGCAGAGATAAATATAATTTTCATAAAAGCCTCTTCAGGTGACTCCCCTCCTCTGCCAAAACTCGGCCGACAAAATATAAATTTTTTTTTTGCATAGAAAAGGCTACTAGACGACCGTTGCCCTTCCTCATTCCTCGAACCATATATCATTCTTCCAGCATTTATGTGAAAGGAATATGTTATATCTACACAGTATGATGATACGATTCTTAACTGACTTTAAGAAATTAAATCTGAATATATGTGGAATTTTTTTAAAATAACTAAAGGACTACAATAAGTGTATAACAAGTAACATATTTCCACTTACTGTATTCACCATGTACGATACATATGGTATTATTCATCTGTTAAACGTCAAGCGTGATGTTTTGACAGTGACGACTTCGCAGGAAATACACGTTATTGTATATCAAAAAGTCACAGAACACGGGGGTTCATGTTAGTATGCCCGCATTCTGTGATAATGCCTATACAGAAGGTCCTTTTAATTACTCATGATCTTTCCCGTACATCAGACAGCGGTATTGGCAAAATTTGTCAGAGAGTTATTTCTACAAGAACACAAGTCAAAAGTAAAAGATATAAAATTATTTGAAGGCGCGTCTAATACAATCATTCTGTCCAACAAGACATGCAGTCAAACGATAGCACCGTAAATATACGTTGAACAGCCATATATTATGTGTCTAATTACGATAAATGCACATCCATACACATGATGATCATCTTTCTGAAAATTTATATAAATTGGTATCAATCCCAAATGTTGCACAAACTCATTTTTTATATAAATTCATTAGTAACGATTCTATTTGTATAAATTTAAAGCTTTCGGTTTCGTTTGTCTAAAGTAAGTTTTAAATCTTAGTGCTAGTTGTTCAACTTAACGTTATTGGTTGTGTATACATACAATGCTTTATGTTATAAATTTATTCTCTATTTAACAATAAAGTGACATGCTTTCAAAATAAAATTTAAATTTGTTTTTTAAGCTTTTCATAGAATCCATTACGATTCACAGTTGATAAGATTATGGGGTTGCCACAATCATTTTTAACTTTTTAACCTTTCAAAAAACTTTATCATTAAAATAATCAACCAATTGTGAACCGTGTAAAGACGATAAAATACTGTTTTTTTGAATATTATGTTTTGGAAAGGAAACTTTTAATAATAATTATTTACTGTTTATTTTTGACTAAAGGAAACATCCAAAGAATATCATTATCATATAACATAATTTATTCGCAACACTGCGCAGGTAGAGGTGGAATTAGAAGTATTCAGGCATTTTATGTACACAGTTTTAAAACCGAAATGTAACGTACTTTAAAAGTGCATATCATAACTTGATAGAAAATTTTACGCAAACAGCGACATTAATAAAATGAAAACTTTCAACACTTTGGTAACTGCAAGCCCTTGTACTAAGTAATTTGTTGCTACAGCCAAACTTTTCCAGCATAAAGAATTATAATAATAACAATAATTCTGATTTCACAAAAAAGAGGTGGAATGATCATCTACTTATGTTGATCAAAAAGGAGCAATACGGCACAAACCCTTAGAAAAAGTAACATAGCTGAGGGTGCCATAGAAGCCTAACTTTCCTTTTTATATGCTTTTATATCTGTGTCACTTGGCGCATAAAGTTAGTGCGGATGTATGTAATATCCAAGAACCTCAGATTTTTACAGCGATCAATTCAGAGTCATTTTTCGAAAATTCGTCTATACATTTTTGTATTCAATTTGCAGATTGCAATTCTACAGATATTTTGACAAAATTGGGAACATTGATGAATTATGACACAAGGCACTATTGAAAGTAGATTGCATCGAATAAGGTGGATTTTTCGTCCCCACATAACGCCTTTATATGACGAAAACGTTTAGCTCTTTTTTAAGATCGAAATAGTACTACAACACTAGGCCTCTATGCGGCATTTTTAGTTTTTCATGACGAAACCAGACTGAAAATAATAAAATCTTAACCAAATAAATTAAGTTCACTAAATTTGAATCATGTCTGTTGACTTTTTGGGCTGTTCTCTTCTGAGGGCTGCCATTAAAAGCATCCCTTTGCGCGGAAACAGAGCATAAATTTTGGCATTTTATAACAGAAATAAATGAACTGTTGTCACATACAAGTTTAAATTAAATACCGTAAACCTGCCAATAAAAAAGTTGAAAATTTCCGTATATTTTAATGATTGCAATAGATATATAGGTGTTAATCGAAAATATGCACATATACAATATTTAGCAGAGCCGCCTAGAAGTCTTATGCAAATTGGTCCCGATCGGTCTAATGACCACCGTTAATCTTTTTCATTTGCTCTTATTAGCTTGGTGATAACTATAAATGGTTTCGGAACAGAAAAATCTAATGCATATACAGTGTGGATCACCATAATACGATAATAATTGATTTTCCGATCTTTGAGAATTATAGCAATCTAAGGTGTACAAATCGATTAATACCAATAGAAAATTTGAAGATACAAGCTCTTATAAGTTAAAGAAGATGTCGGCAGGAAACTCGGTGAAATATTATATAAATATATGCTTTAAACAGGCAGGCGCTTAATAACACGTATCTCCTGTTCCTTCTATAACGCGCATAACGAGATAGTTACGAACGCAAAAGAATTTTTTTAGCATTATGATAAAAATATGCATGTACATATTACGATACTACGCTATATATAATTGCGTATTGGGAACATTACATAAATTATATCATTCCTTCAATATTTGTATTACAACGTATAATTGCTTTAAGTCACATAAGTTATATTGACACATATTTAAATTTCAAAAGTTTTCTTCTTTAATATTTATCTTGTTCACATTACTATTTTTACGACTGGCAACATTTAGTTCTCTAGCACGGCTTTCATTTTCGAAACTTATAGTAAATTGGTCGAGACTGTACGCTCTGGATCGACAAGCGATAGTTACATCGTGTGGTGTACTTGTGGTTTCAGTTTCAGCGCATTCTGTGTCAGTGTCACTAAACTTTCTCCGCTTACGTAGGAATGAGTGTAAAGGCGAATAAACCACTTTGCGTTCTTGCTTTTCCATTTCTGCTGCCAACATTTTGACTTCCCAGTCACCTTGATAATTTTTTCGGCTATTTATGTCTTCGTCCTTAGCATGGTAGCCGGTTCTTTGGTCATGAATAAATTTCTCGGTAGAGGAACTGGAGTTTGAACTATCATCCATGTCAACAACGGTGTTATCGAATGTTGTAGGAGTTAATTTTATACTCTTGTCTTTCATCTGTGATTGTTGTAAATTCCTGTATTCTTTCCTACATGCATTAGTTTCATTCTGAAGTTGTTTTTTGGGGTATGTGAATGTGTCAGCATTTTTGAATCGGCTGCTTTTTGGTGATGCGATAAGCCGATTAGACGTCAGTGTAGGTGGCGACGAAGTAAATACCGTGTCAAGTGAATCTCCTCGCTAAAATTATTTATTATCAACGTTTACATTCTTAGTACATAAGGTAAATGGATATCTACCATAAAAAATGGCTCGGCGGATGAAGTTGAACTGCTAGCATCTCCAGAGCAGAGATCGTCTTCTGTAAACTGTATCCGGTGATCCCGACTGATTTTTTTATTTAAAGACGAAGACGGCGGCACATTTAAAGACACGGTCGTTAGCTGTGTTTTTAAATGAGCAATTATAGCGTCTCTTCTTTTCATTTCTAAAGCCATGTTTGTGAACTGCGACTCAAACTTCGATTGCATTTCGCTTATGTGCGCGTGAATCACAGTGTTAATACCATTTAAAATTTTATCAAAATATTGCTGTCCTCCTGGAAAACCTGTAAATAATCCTAAAAAAAAAATTACCTTCTGGAAATATTTAATGCATATATATATGTTGGTTTGAACGATATGGAATAAAACGTCTGACAACTATAGATTAGATTGCGTCATCACGTATATACTCGTTATTTTTAGGAAATGCGTACAGTATGGTTTTTGAATTTTAAATTCGATAATAACTTTTTTAATTAACATTAGTTAAATTTAGCAAACATTGATGAAATAATTTTGTAGATCGACCGAAACATGCAATTAATTAAATTACCGTTATTATAAAGCGAAGGACAATATCTTAGGTTTTTGTCAAAATACTGCATTAAAAAAGAAACCTGTTTGGTTGATTGTTGGTTAAGTTTTCGCAAATTTGAATTGTGGATTGGCCTAGTCGGCGAGCAAGTTTGGTGCAAGCCCAAGCCGATTTGAGAAGTAAGAACCGAATAAAAAGGTTTTAGATACATACTTTATCAAAATTATTATTATTATTATTATTATTATTATAATTTTAGACTAATGAAATAAATTCTTAGACTAAAAAAAGACATTGAGCACTAGCAACATAGGCTATCGGCTCTAATTCAAATAAATGGACATTAGATAATGAGCTTAGTAGTATTAAAAAAGTAATATATTGAATTGATATTCTGTTCTGAAGCTGATTGTAGAATGGCCAAAGGGTTAATCGTTCTAAATACAATACTTCTAGCCAAGGAAAAGTTAAATCAGTCGCAGAGAATGTGCTTTATGGTGAGAGTTTGTCTACAACTGCATATTGGGTAGGAAGACTTTTTCAAGATCCATTGGTGAGTTTCAATTGTATGACCAAGGCGAATTCTCGAAAATGTTTGGATCTTGGTTTTCTCAACATTTGTTGGATATAAACGTGGAATTAGTTAAGAGTTAATGGAAGAGTAGTGTTGATGATGGTATTGTAAATTTTCTTCTGCAATTTTCTCTTTAACTTTTCTTCCAATGTGTCTTTGAAGATTCAACTTTTCCATGACATCATCCGCCATTAGAAGAACAGAAGCAGCATCTTTTGCAGCTCGTTAAGCCTGCTCATTTCCAAATAAACTGATGTGACTTGGTACCCATAAAATTTTAATTTTTCCGTCGGGTCTTGTAATTATATTCTTTAAGTTGTTGATGGTGTTCCATCTCGAAGTCGAAGGATTCCGAATAGTTTGTATTAGAGACAAACTGTCAGTAACAATGACGGTTTTGAGTTTGTTTTTATGGGCAAGGTTCACAGCGTGAAGGATAGCTCTGTCTTCGGTTGTGAAAGTTGAAGTACTTTCGTGAAATATGTGATTGAGGAGAACTCGTCCTGTAGAATCAACCACGGCACAAGCAGGAGGCAGACCAGAAGAATTTGAGCCGTCTGTGTATAAATGACTCCAACCAGTACTTTCTAATATTTGGGTTTTTTCAACTATTATTATTCTGAAGACCTAATTTGGAGTATCTTCTTTCTTGTGCATAGACAGCGAGATGTCAAAAGAGCAGTCTTTCAAAATCTATGGAGGTTTACAGCCAAAAAAGCGGCCCGAGCCCGAGAATATGCATCGTCTTCACGTTTAGTATTGGTAAGTCATTAATATGCATCAGCAGATTTCCTGCATCGCATATCTGCTTTCGACAAATGTGCACTTTTTTAGATTTTTGTATGGAAATTTTGGCCCCCGACGAGTTTGCCCATGCGGAGATCTCTCGTCCAATAGATTCGAAGGTGTTGATTGCCTTCGTGCTATCTTTTTCTTTTGTAAAAATGTATACATCGTCTGCGTAGAGGCAATGCTCCACTTTTGGTACACGATAAAGAATTTTGTTAATTTCGTTGAAGGCGATCTGGAAAAGCGTGACAGAAAAAGGAGATCCTTGCGGAACGCCATTCAATAGCGGGAAGGAATCAGAGACATGATTGTTGATTCTAGTTGAAGAATTTTGGTCCAACGTGCCATGATTTCAAGAGTCTTAAAATAAAATGAAGACCAACTCTGTCAAATGCTTTTTCGAAATCAATTGAAAAAATTGTTACATGGTTTCGTTCGGAAATTGATTTGCTTGTAAAATAATCAATATGTAACAGAGCGTTGATGCACCCTCTATCCCGCTTGAAACCAACTTAGCACTGGAGAAGTTGCTGTGCCATAAATTTATTTGCGCAGGGCTTGCTAATCTACAGTAACAAGAGTAGACTGTTTACTTAGTAAATGCATTTCCAAATGTTTCTCGCGTCATATCAAGTTCGGTATGTTTACGTTGTGCAAAAAAAGTATTTTGTTTGTGTTGGACATGTGAGTACAATCAATGATACCAATAAAGGAGTCAGTTGGACTTGCTCAACAGGCGTTTTTCTGAAATCTCTAAAATTTTAGACTTACTAAACAGTAGCTTTTATATGTAGCATTCTCTGATCCAAGGCCTCAAGTTCGGCGAGGTAACAGACAAGACAACTTGACTCGCATTTTATCGTAGGGCGGCTATCAAATCATCCAGTTATTGAGCTTGCTATTGTTTACCTCTATACCTGAAACTTCAGTCCCTCTGCCTTCATAAGTTTTCTTTTAACCTTTAAAGCTTAAATGGTTGAATAGTAAGCTCTAAAGTCTTTACACTAAAAACACAATTTTTAAGTAGTTGCTTTTTTGGAATGACGGGCAAAACCGCATATGTTTAACCTGGAACTTTTTTGTAGCGAATATCAAATTTGTGGATCTTAGAGGAATGGGAAATTTGGTGAAGGTGTGTTACTTGCTATGGCACCGTCGGTTCGTTCTTGCTTATACACGTCTTCTCTACCGAGTAATGTTGAGTTTCTATGCGTTGAGTTTCTATTAACACTCTAACAAACTAAAAAACATTCTTATAGTATGTTCTTTATTACCACTTAGTTCCGATTTGAACATTTGCTTAAAAGATGCTACCTCAATAAGAGATTTATCTGACTCATGTGATGTAATCATAGTGTTACTGTTGTTTCTTGACGAATATATGTGGTCATTAATCTGCTACCCACGAGTACCCTCGAACTACGGTAACCGTTTTGTTGAGTTCTTTGATATAATTTTTGCGTGTTGCTTTTTCCAACCTAATGGCAATACCAGAACTGGACACCTTTTGGTCTCTGATGTAAGCAATCAAACCGCTTCTCTTCCAAGTAAGACACTAAGATTTGCATTTACCTGGATATTAGTTATTCAAATCATCGTGGTACATTAAGGCGTTGTGAAACATATATGCAACGATGTAGTGTTTCACTACCAGAAATATTATAGCACTCAGAGTTACGAACCTACGTCTCTATGGGTAAAATTCATTATCCCGGCATGCAACCCAGCTCAAACGCGAACAGTATGGTTTCCTCGAATGATTTTTCTTCCAGCCAATACAGTGTCGTCTATTCTTGGTAGCTACTCCAACATCAAAATCGTGGTCTTTAGCCACTTCATCGTCTGCAATAGAACCCGTCTGCGTCATTCAACCCATAAAATTCTTGAGGGATGCAGGAATTATCGCAATGAAGAACTACCTACGCATATTTCTAACTTTGGGGAGTTGCAACAATGTAAACCACATGTTTTTCTTACTACAAATCTACATATATACGAAATTCAGATGCTTGCATCTTTTGTTGCTCCGCTCACCGTACTATATCTTCATCCTATTCGCATGCTTACTTTTGTCACATTTCAGCCGGTTCCGAAATGCAAAGTCTACAATTACGATGAGTCCAATGGTGCAGAGCTCAAACTCTTTTTTGGGCATTTTAATTGGCAAATATATATTATTAAAAATAATTTCAATTCCACTGCAGCAATTATACAAAATGTCATAAAATATAGAATGCGAGCTTACATTTTCTTCAAAAACACTTCGGCTACATCAAATAGCCAATGTTATTTTAGTCAGACTTCCAAAGACACATTCAGGGCTAGAACGGAAGCAACTAAAATTTGGCGTTTTTACCCAAATAACCAAATTAATCTGATTTGCAAACAATCGAGAAATATATGCAATCGGGTATTTTCCCGTGAAGGAGCTCTCCGCAAACGGCATCTACGGAAGAACCTGTCGCGGTACCTCCAGTAAAGACTCGAGTTGGCAAGCCAACGGACAGTATGTCATGAGGAACATGGTCATATCGTGAAGGAACAAGCGGGCTGACAACGGCTCTGAAACTCAGTGCCTTCCGGCACCCAGATACAGGTCAACGGCAAGTTGACTGCAAAGCAAGCTGCACTTCACAGTAACCCGAGGAGCACGAAACTTAACCGTGTCGAAGTATGAGCAATCTAAGCGGAAAAAACAGGCACATCAAGGGCATCAAAGTGCACCTCCGCCATATTAAAGCCGCCTCTTCGGTCCTTAGTATGAGGATAAATCCTGGATAAATGTGGGCGCCATCCAAGGTCTGCGCAACACAAAAAGTAATTTGGTTCAAAACACCCACACGGGTGGCCAGAGCAGCCTTGCTCATTGGAGTCAATATAACACATTTCCAACATCTTTCAGAGTTTATACAGAAGGATCTGGTGGAAGTTTAGGCTGTTATGCCATGCCCTAATGGGAACCGATCACAAGTAATAGCTGCCACATATTTATTGAGCGTGGAAGAGATATCCACCCCCGGTGGGCGGAACCTTGTTCCGTACTCTCAGTCCTGCGAGTTGGATTGGCTAATCGGCTGTGATGCCAACGCCAACCATATAGTTTAACGCAGCTCAAATGACAGTTTCAGTGGTGAGGGATAGGGAATCTGTAACGGCCGCGAACAAACCTTGGGTAGGGTGTCTGTCGGTCTGGATCAACCGCAAGCGGAGCAATAACGGCATGCCGTTAGACAAAATCATGCGATTTTGTGGTACCGCTAGTAAATCGCATGATCTTGCGGTATATGTGTTTTTTTTTTTTCCTTTTTGATCTCCTTACTTACAAGTACAGGCAAAATCGTATGGTTTTGCGGTACCTTTGCTTGCTTTTGCAAGTACAGGCGGAATCGTATGATTTT